ATGTTTTATAAATCTTTTTCTTGTCGCCAAATTTATATAGATTATAATTGGGTATATCTATATGTTGTGGCTTTCCCTGACATTCATCCTAAAGCTTATTTCAATTACCAATCTGAAGGTAATCTATGGTGATAGTAATGTTGGAAGGTGATTTATGGTGATAGTAATGTCGACAGGCCATCTATATCGATAGTAATTGTGAAAGGTGATCTGTGGTGATAGTAATGTTGAAAAGAAACATTGGTTAAACTAATGCTGAAAGGCGATCATTATATGTAGCTGAAGCCGTAGATGTAAAGTAGATTGAAAGATGTATGCTGATAGTAATGTTAGCAGGTTCTATGTTGATAGTAATGTTAACAGGTTCTATGGTGATAGTAATGTTGAAAGTTTCTATGTTGATAGTAATGTTGAAAGGTTCTATGTTGATAGCAATGTTGAAAGGTTCTATGTTGATAGCAATGTTGAAAGGTTCTATGGTGATAGTAATTTTGAAAGGTTCTATGCTGAGAGCAATGTTGAAAGGTTCTATGTTGATAGTAATGTTAACAGGTTCTATGTTGAGAGCAATGTTGAAAGGTTCTATGTTGATAGTAATGTTAACAGGTTCTATGTTGAGAGCAATGTTGAAAGGTTCTATGTTGATAGTAATGTTAACAGGTTCTATGTTGATAGTAATGTTCACAGGTTCTATGTTGATAGTAATGTTAACAGGTTCTATGTTGATAGTAATGTTGAACGGTTCTATGTTGATAGTAATGTTGAAAGGTTCTATGCTGTTAGTAATGTTGAAAGGTTCTATGTTGATAGTAATGTTAACAGGTTCTATGTTGAGAGCAATGTTGAAAGGTTCTATGCTGAGAGCAATGTTGAAAGGTTCTATGTTGATAGTAATGTTGAAAGGTTCTATGGTGATAGTAATGTTGAAAGTCGATCTATGGTGATATTAATATGGAAAGATGATCCATGGAGATAGTAATTTTGAAATTAGCTTTTTCTATATAATAAGAATTCAGCATTCATTGAATGTAAAAAAAGAATATTGTCACACAAATGTATCATTACTTTTTTATTTATAAACTTTATAAATTCATAATATAATTATTATAATGCCGATCAATACGCGTAAAAACTTGAATTTAACGTATTTGAAGACGAGCAAATTATTTTAAAAGAAAATTGTTAATAGAGAACTGAAACAATAATTCATCATCATCATCATCATCATCTTCTTTATCTTCTTTATCTTCTTCTTCTTCTTCTTCTTCTTCTTTATCTTCTTCTTCTTCTCCTCCTCCTCCTTCTCTTTCTTCTTCTTCTTCTTCTTCTTCTTCTTCTTCTTCTTCTTCTTCTTCTTCTTCAGAACGTTAGCGATCATGGCTCGCAACAATTTATGTCCTTTTCAGGTCTTAATAAATTTTTTTTTTTTTTAGCTCTCTTAAGCCCTCTTTTGCCATCCATTTAATCAAACTCGCCTAGGATGTAATGCTTTGTTTTACTATCTATCTATCTATCTATCTATCTATCTATCTATCTATCTAGACTTGTTTTCTCTTGTTGCTGTATCTATCCCTGTTCTCTCTCTCATCTGTTCTTGCTCTCTTTTTTCTCTCTTCCTCTTGAGGTCTTTCTCCCCTCTCACTTCTTGAATTCTATCTATCTATCTATCTATCTATCTATCTATCTATCTATCTATCTATCTATTACACTTTCTTTCTTTCTTTCTTTCTTTCTTTCTTTCTTTCTTTCTTTCACCCTATCTATCTATCTATCTATCTATCTATCTATCTATCTATCTATTACACTTTCTTTCTTTCTTTCTTTCTTTCTATCTATCTATTACACTTTCTTTCTTTCTTTTTTTCTTTCTATCTATCTATCTATCTATCTATCTATCTATCTATCTATCTATCTATTTATTACACTTTCTTTCTTTCTTTCTTTCTATCTATCTATTACACTTTCTTTCTTTCTTTCTTTCACCCTATCTATCTATCTATCTATCTATCTATCTACATATATATATATATATATATATATATATATATATATATAGATAGATAGATAGAGAGAGAGAGAGAGAGAGAGAGAGAGAGAGAGAGATTATAATATAGATTTTTTTACTGCATGACACAGGCTGCCTCTTCCAAGCCGTCCCAGACCTTATACTCCCACGTTGGCCGATGATATAATAGTCAAAGTTTTAAATTTAATCTTGTCTAACTCTGAAATTGGTTTCCATTCCGAGGCTATTCAGATCAGTCTACCCTACGACTTTTCTTATCACTAGAACAGACGGCACGAGCCCAGGCGTTAGCGCAAACAGTATTGGCAGTAATTTGAACACATCTCGTCGATCCCGTCGTCTGCACTAATAGCCCTTACGCTACCTGCGCCCATTTGTAGACACAATAAAATATCATCTTTATTGGTTACTGATAATCATGATGATGGCCAATAAATAACAACCATTGTCGTAGAATTGATAGTTGCGCTTTGCTTTCTACAATGTGTCATGGCCGTCGTAATAGTGATTGTCGCTAGGAATAATATGGAGTCAATTTATTGTAGCTCTATTCGTTCCATGTTGTCGTTTTGACAGCGATAAGCGCGTTCGTTGTGTGGACGCTTGTGATGGTAATTTATTTTGTTTGAGTTGCATTGATTTTGCTCAAATTACCATTGGCTACACAGTCAATCAATGAAAAAGGATCGATAAAATAGCGTTATTTTTAATTTCTATCTATCTATCTATGTATCTATGTATCTATCTGTATATGTTTGCTTTCTTTTTAATTTTTCTCAATGGCCGATACAAAGAGGGAGAAGTGGAAAGAGGAGAATTAGAAAGGAAAAGGAGAGAGAGAGAGAGGAAAGAAGGAAAAAGACAAACGGGAGAAGGAGAAAAAAGAGGGATAGAATAAAAGAAAAGTGAAAACTCAAATAGAGACGAAATATAAAAGAGACGTCTAAAAAAGGCGCGCAGGGAAAAGAAAGAAAGAAAGAAAGAAAGAAAGAAAGAAAGAAAGAAAGAAGGAGGAGGAAGAGGAGGAGTAAAGAAGAAGAAAGAAGAAGAAGTACGAATGAAGAAGAAAGAAAAGTGAATGGTGGAAAACCTAAACAAGTGGACTTAAGAAGGAGGGGGATAATGAATGAAGAATAATGACGTGAATTAAGAAAGATGAAAATAACGGCGAAGAAGAAACGAATGAAAGAAAATGGTGGAAATGAAGCAGAAAAATCGGTTGAGAAAACGAAGAAGAAATAAAAAGAAGAACTCGATGTAAGGATAAATTATTATTATGTCACTAAAAGAAAAAAAGAAGAATGAATGGTTGAATGATGAGAAAGTGAAAGGAAAAGGATAAATCTGAAGAAAAAAAGTATTATTATTATTATTATTAACAACAGCAGTAATGGTAGTAGTAATAGTAGTAGTAGTAGGAATAGTAAAAGAAGAAGAAGAAGAAGAAGAATGAAAAGGAGAGATGAAATAAGTTAAAGTTCAACGGAAGAGAAAAGATTAAATAAGGAAAAGAAAGAGTGAGAGGGAAATGAAGTAAAAACGAAGGCAAGAAAAAAAAATAACAAAAAAAAAACAAACAACGAAAATGGTTAAAAAGGAAAGAAAATGGAAAAGAAATAAGTATTCAATAAAAAAGAAATACAAAAATAAGGAGTCTAGGTAAGAAGAAAGACAAAAAGAAAGAAAAAAAGAAAAAGAAAATAAATAGAAAATAAGTTTAAAAAGTCGAAGTAAAATGAAAAAGAAAATTAGAAAAGAAAAACCCGTGAAAAATGAAAAGAATGAAAAAGAATGAAAGGCCAAAAAAATAAAAAATGAGACTGCAACGCAAATTGAAAGAATGAAGTGAAGAAAATAAGATAAAAAAAGAAAAGAAAAAGAGGCTAGAGAAAGAAAATAAGAAGAGAAAGAAGGTACGAACAAGAAAATGGAAACAGAAGGACAAAAAAAAGAGTGTAAGAAAGAGAGAATAACACACGACATAACCACCGCTAACAACAACAAGAACAAAGATGTTAACAAAAACAGCAACATATGACAGCAACAATAATGGAGGTTCGAGTGAAGTAATAGGAATGAGTCTGAAATAGACGTGCGAGAAAAAGGAAATAATTTTAGAATCAAATAAATATGTATGATAGGTTAAAAAAACAAAAACACAAAACAAAAAACACACGAAAAAAAAAAAAATGGGAATAAATTGCAAAAATCCTTCCTTTTTATTACCCGGTCATCCATTTTGGAAGGAGGAGGTAGGTGAAATGCAAAGTTATTTGCTGCAGCAATCAGGCTCCATTTGCATGTCAGAAGCAAATCGTGCCTTCGCTCGATACTTTTAAAGCGTTGATTTTCATTCTACGGCTGCTACTTTTCTTTCCGCCATTATTTCTACTTTCACTTTCACTTTTGATTCTATCTATTTTTTTTGTCTCCTTCTTATCAATGATTCGCTCCACCAATCATTAAACGCCTTTCTACGTTTCTACACTTACTTTATTTCTTTCTTCTTTCTGTTTCATTGCGACTCTGCCTTTTCTGAACACTTATTTCTCTCTCAATCTTTCTCTTTATTTATTTATGCATTTATATATATATATATATATATATATATATATATATATATATATATATATATATATATATAACATTCAGGATGAATGTTTTATCGGACAAGCTTGCTAACAATATTTTCAAAATAAGACAAATTAATGCATTATATCCTAATTTCTAGGAATAATAAATTAGTTTGCTGTACGATAGTTTCACAATCTTATTTTCATACCACTTTCTCGTTCCTTCATCTCATTATAAGCAGTAGCGCACTAGCGTCAGTGGCGCTCGAACCTTATTGCATGACATAACCAAGAATTATAGTTTCAATAGAATACTCTAATAATCACTTCTTACGATGTTCTGTTTCATTCATGACATCACTATTCATAAGTATTTTACCAGTATCCTCTAGCCATTTTGCCTGACATAATAATTTTCAATAGAATAGTGTCATAATAATCACTTTCTACCACATTCTGTTTCATTCATGACACGGACCTCATTAATCATAAATATTTTAATAGTATTGCTCTAGCTTGTCTGACTCTCGAGTCGTTATGCCTGATGTAATAATTTTCAATAGAATAGTGTCATAATAATCACTTTCTACCACATTCTGTTTCATTCATGACACGCACCTCATTAATCATAAATATTTTAAAAGTATCCATCTAGCTGGTCTGACTCTCAAGTCGTTATGCCTGATGTAATAATTTTCAATAGAATAATGTCATAATAATCACTTTCTACCACATTCTTTTTCCTTCATGACACACACCTCATTAATCATGAATATTTTAATAGTATCCCTCTAGCTTGTCTGACTCTCGAGTCGTTATGCCTGATGTAATAATTTTCAATAGAATAGCGAATTCTCAGCATGCTTCTGCAGAGACTACTTTCTGTCGCTCTAGGTCTTTTCATTATCTGTGACGAGACTGTCCAGCATTTAACCCCCATAGAAGAGGATCGATATTACATAACAGTTTATCAATCTTTTCTAAGTTTCTAACACAATTTTGGCAATCTTCGACTTCCGTGCTCGCAAAACATGAACCCCCCCGCAAAAAAAACGACTGCTTTTCCTATGACACCGCTATTATTTTAACTACCTTCACTCCTTGTTATTGTTTTAAAAAACGATGATTAGAATTTTTATAAAACTTAAGCATATGATGAAAGTGAATTGATAAATTTTTGTTCTTGAGAATTTACAACAAAATATTAAACATTCTTTATTTATTAGATGGTTTAATTACAAAACTAATTTTATATTTACAACATTCTAAAAAACTAATACAATGTGATATTTATCATTTACCAATTTATAAAGAAACAGGTATGAATTTTTTATTCATGAATTTGTTAACATTTACTAAATGATTAAAATATGTGAAGCAACTATAACGAAATCCTTGTTATTTACCATTTTATAAAGCTTGAATCGGATAACAATTAGCTGATATTTTGACAACCATTCCGATAAACAATGTAATAGATAAGTAGCTTAAATAAATAATCTAATAAATAAATAGTGTTTATTGTATATATTGTAAATTAAGAAAGAAGAAAGAAGATTTATCAATTCACTTTCATATGCTTAGGTTTTGTTATAATTCTTATTGCTTTTTAAAACTGGATATTTTTGAGGAGTGAAGGTAGTTAAAATAATAGCGGTGTCTGGGGAAAGACCGTCCTTTTCAAACTTGTCCAAGATTGCTGAAAATAGAATCAAAAAGAATTATACTTAACCTTCTACTTGGAGCCATCTTTGAACTTTGTATTCTTCTTCCGTGTTTAATCAGCTTCCTTTATTCTTGTATCGTCAATTTTCAGAATAAGACAATTCCTTCCGTTCAAATGTTATAATAATTTGTTGTGATTATCTTTTCTTACTGAGAACACTTCTATTAAGGAATACATTTGAAATTTCTACGTAATGGAGAAAGAAGGCTTGGAGAATATGACACCCATTTGACATACGGGAGGCAACAGGAACAGAAGGATAGAGTGAGCAATTTAGCTAACAGGATTGTGTAAACGGATAGGAGAACAGTGAGTGGGAGGTGCGGTAAAGAAGACAATCATAGTACAGAGCTACAACAAATAGGAAGATGTGGAGAGTCATGATAGCCCATGTACTAAAAACGACATACTTTGCTTACATGGTTCTCTCTTTTATTAGAATTGGAATAAAACCTAAACATATGATGAAACTGAATTTATATATATATATATTTGTTCTCAACACTATTTATTAGACAGTTTATTTACAAGACTAATTTTATATTTACAACATGCTAATGCAATGCAATTTGAATTTCTGATGCTCAACTCCACAAGAGCACCTCTTTACGACTGCTTGGTCTCACACTGTCCGCTGACCTGAGATGGAATAATTAAAATTGAATCAATAGCTTCATCTACCGCAAGGAAAATTGGTTCACTGTCTCGCGCCAAAAAGTTTTTCTCGCCTGAGTTCATCCTTCAAATTTATAAATCAGCCATTCACCCTTGCATGGAATTTTTTTTTAAGCATTACGCCCCAAGCAAGGCGTGAAGCCACTAGGATGCAGGGGGTTGCGGAAGATTTGGAGCGAGAGCGGATAGGAGTGATAGAAGAAAGGATGAGGAGAAGGATAGTGGGTAGATCAAGGTACTGCTGTCATACATGGTCTGGTGCCCCTGCTGTTCGCCTTAAGGTCCTCGACAAGATCCAGAGTCGGATAAGCAATGTGGTTGGTCCTGATCTGTCATCTCATCTTCAGTCGCTCTCTCACAGACGTGCCGTCGCCTCCCTCTGTCTTTTCTACAAATACTTTCACGGTAACTGCTCCGACGATCTACTTTCGCTAGTTCCCAAACTGCATGAATTTAAACGGGCCGCTGGGCCGGCATCTCAGTCCCACCCTTTCACTGTCGAAACAGTTAAATGTAGCCGTCTCTTCTACTCCAATAGCTTCATGTCTCGCACTTCCCGTCTGTAGAACTCCCTTTCTCTTACTTGCTTTCCTGATAGTTATAATCTCCAACTATTCAAATGCAATGTCAATTGACATCTCCAGATGCCCTGACCTATTCCCTGTCCTTCTCTTCATCCTTTCCTCCATCACACATCTTTACTCTCGCTCCCACACATAACCCCTGGGTACTAGTGGCATACCGCCTTGCTTGGGTTGAAATACTTAAAAAAAAAAAATCGTTTATAAAGAAATAAATAGGAAAATAATGTTTTATCCATAAATTAATAAAAATTTACTAAATTATTAAAATATCTGAACCAACTATAAAGGAATCTTTATTTTTTACCATTTTATGAAGAAATGTTCTCTTAAGGTGTGCTATACTTATGGGATAAAGTGCTCAATATCAGAGATAGAGCGTGTGTAAATAAATATAAAAATGAACATAGACGTCAACACTTAGAAGCGACAGACTGTTTCAGGCAAGACGTAATCGTCAGGCCACGATTGCATCTAGCATGAAACAGCCTGTCACCTCTAACTGTTGACTTCTATGTTCATTTTTATATTTACTTACCATTTTATAAAGTTTGAATCGATTGGGAAATAACCGATATTTTGCCAACCATTCCAATAAACATTCTAAATAAACATATAGTGTAAGTAATCTAATAAATAAAAATAGGATTAATTATTTTTGTTGTCAGTTCACAAGAACAAAGAAAATGTTTAAATTCACTCTCATATGTTTAGTTTTTATTAAAATTCTAACCATCGCTACTGTAAACAGTAAACATTGCTGAGAAGTAAAAGTAGTTAAAATAATAGCGGCATCAAGGGAAAAACTCCGTTTGACATGTTGTTTTTTGCGGGTACGGAGATCCAAGATTGCTGAAATTTCTTAATGCTTTCCTTAGTTTTTAGTGTTTACCATGTTCACCATAGTCTATGAATATAGAATACAGCGCAGTAAGTAATCTGTTCAATGAAACAACGTTAAAGATTAACACTCACGAACAAAGGTTGGCAGTGAGTATTCGGGGAAAAAAAACATGGCCGCCTTTATACACGTCGCATTGAATACTTTGAGCCTTCTGATTGGTTAACCCTTCTATTGGCGAACTATAAAATGAGTCAGCGGATTTTGGCTGGCTCACTAGTACCCCAAAATTCCTTGCCCCCGGGTCCGCTCTCTTATGGGACCATGTCGGCGAGCTGACCGCTCGTCTCGTTCGCGAACAGCTTGTGCCCATGGATCGCGTATACGCGTGTGACAATGTGTCTCCCCACCGTGTTCCGGGGTGAAACGAATGGTGTATCTGACGCTGCTAGCCACGGCTCGAATGGTGATTTGGACGACGCGAAAGGAGGAAGTCTTGCAAGGCAACCGTCTTTCCCATCAGGATGTACCTAGTTTTGTGTACCTAGTTAATGTGAGTAAGTGTTTTTTCTGGCCTGTATCCCGGC